GGATTTCTGAGAGTTCAAAGCTAGCTTGGGCTACATGGTGAGATCCTGTCTCCAAAAAACAAAACAAAGGATTTTATTTTTTTTTAAGAGGAGAAGGTCATTCAAGGTAACATCCAGCCAGGTTTGGTGGCGTACCTCTGTGATCTCAGCTACTGGGGAGGCTGAGGCAGGAGGATTCGTAATTCAAGTTCAGCCTGGAAAATTTATTGAGAGCCTGCCTCAAAATAAAATACAGGGTTAAGGATATAGGAACATAGGTCAGTGGAAAAGTGCTGCTGGTTCAATCTCCAGGCCTGAAGGACAGAGAGAGAGAGAGAGAGAGAGAGAGAGAGAGAGAGAGAGAGATCCCACAAGTTGATCCCCTATTCTCTGAGTAGCTCCATACATGCCCCTGGAACTCCTCTTTGAGGATCGCTGGGGTGGACCCGGTGTCTGCTCCAGCCACCAAGAAAGGCAGGTCCTCTGCATGCAGGAAGGTAAAGATGTGGTTACAGAGGAGGGATGCGGAAGACATTCAATAACACATCACGGGTAAGGGCTATTGACTCCAGAAAACAACACTGCCATTCATTTCATGGAAAGGTGACACTGTCGCAAGAAAAACTCTCCAGGGTGGCAAGGCCATGTCAGAACTGAGGGAGGTTCAGCGCAGGCACACGGCCCAGAACGGTGTCTCAGTCCATGACAGGCCACAGAGAAGACAGTGGCCTGGTAATTGTACAGCAGTGTGGTGCTCATCTCTGCCTGTGTAGGACGCTGATGCTGGTGCGGTGACACAGTCACCTGACCGGTTGGCTGTTGTTAAGTGCTGCATGACTGTCATTGCACAGCTTCCTTTTAGAAGGGCGGGGTGGAGGTGTCGGGTTCAGGACTGGCTCTTCAGCACCCTCCAGGCCTCACACTCCCAGCCCAGGGCTTCACCTCGGCCGCTTCCTCCTGCAAGGCTGCTTCTATTCTGCGGGACACTGGGCTGGATAGTCGGGGCAAAGCAAGAACAGTGGGCAGTGGTCAAGAGGGCCCTGGGCTGGAGGTGGCTGGGGGAAGCGAGGAAAGGCAGAGTTACGTGGCAGAGTCCTAGGAGGAGACTCTGGCTTTCACACCTGCAACTCTGGCCCTGGACGATTTGCAGAATTCTCCCGGGACTGTCTGAGGGCTGCATCAACACCATGAAAATCTACGGTAGAGCCGGGCATGGCGGTGCACACGTGCACCCAAGCACTCAGGAGGCTGAGGCAGAAGACTGCCAACCTGGGCAACTTACCAACTCATAACAATGACAACAACAACAAAATAGTTCCTGTGTCAAGTTCCTGAGTTCAATCCCCAGTATAAAAACAAAACGAACAAAATAAAAACCTCATGGTAGAAAAGATCTGAGTGGGAATTCTAGGGCCCTGAACTAGAGGAAGTCAATAATACACCTATTAAACAAATGAATGAAGAAAACTCATGGAAAGGTTTTACATTTTTTCCCCAGGAGGCTAGAACACTGGCCTTGGGCTCACAGACCTGGATTCACACCTCCAAGCCCTGCGACCTTGCTAAGCTCCTTTGCGTTTGTGGGTTTCTTTTTTAAATTTTTTAAAAATCAAAGTGATATGGTGAAAACAAAGGAAATCAGGGTGGAGGTTCTTGGGACATAATGGAGTGGAGAGAGATGGCTGGAGCGGAGTCTGTTGTGTTCTGTCGTGAAGGACTCCAATGGCGCCCACCCTGGGCGGTCACCGAGCCTCCCACTTGGCAAGCCCCTCCCCGCGCACCCCTGTGCACTTTCCCACCTGGGCTTGCCGGGCCGGTTCAGAGCATGCTGCCATCTGCTGGGAAGAAGAGGAAGTGACATCAAGGCGTCCCTAACACAGAGTGGGGGTTGGTGGGGGGGGGGGTTGCGGGAAACCGAGCGGGAAGGAAGGTGAGGCCCTAGTTTCTCCTCTGCTGTGTGCTTCCCACTGCCCAACAGCTTATCAGAAGAATTCTTATTTCATCAGTTTCTTCTTTTTTTAAAAAAGTGGCAGGATATTATTTTACTTTCAGAAGGAAAGAAAGCCAGATGCTATGGTGCATGCCTATAATCTCAGCTGCTCTGGAGGCTGAGGCAGGAGGACCCTGTCTCAAAATAAAAAATTAAATAAAAAGGACTGAAGGTATAACCTAGTAGGAAAACACTCGCCTGGCATGAGTGAGGCCCTGGGCTCAATACTAGCACAGAGAGAGAGAGAGAGAGAGAGAGACAGAGAGAGAGAGAGAGAGAGACAGAGACAGAGACAGAGACAGAGACAGACAGACAAGACAAGACAGAGAGACAGGGGGCTGGGGATTTAGCTCAGCGGCATAAGCGCCTGCCTTGCAAGCAGGCAGTCATGAGTTCGATCCCCAGTACCGATAAAAAGGAAAAAGACCAAAAAAAAAAAAAAAAAACAGAGAGACACAGACAGAGACAGAGAAATACTGTTACCAATTTCTGACTCCAAACTGGATCTTTTTCTCTGTCCAAACTGTGGAGCCAGTAACAAGATGGAAGCATCAGCTTAGTGGTACAGGAGACTTCTGCCATTGGCAAGCCCAGGACAAGTGGGAGAGAAAACTCAAAAACCACCTTCTGCACTGGCTTGGGGTTGGGGGCTGTAGACACAGGGTACGAGCAGTGAGAGGGAGGGAAAGGCTGGTAGACAGCAGGAGCAGCCATGTCTCTTCAGGTGCCTCCTCCCCCCTTCTGCTTCTTCTCTGGTTCTCTCTGGTCACAGTGTTGGCATTTGTCACCTGTCACGTTGCCTGTCATGTACTTGCACATCAGATAAAAATGAACTTAGAGGTCACTTGAAGGTGACTCAGATCTGGCCCACACAACAAGGAATTTCTGGATTACAGGAACTGTGTCCTTAAAGGTGACCAAAACTGGGGCTGGTAGACTTTCAGCCAGGTCAAGCCAATGGTTCAAGACTGGACAGGGGGATAATGCTACCCATTATCCTTGACACTGTACTAAGCAAAATAAGCCAGACAGGTATTATGTGATTCCCTTCTACGAGGTATCTAAAGCTGTCAGATTTACAGAGACAGAAAGTAGAACAGTGGTTGCCAGGGCCTGGGGCTGGGGCTGGGGCATTACTGTTTCATGGGTACAGAGTTTGAGTTTTGCCAAATGAGAAAATTGAGAGATTGACTGCTCAACAATGAAGCTCCATTTAACATTGCAGGACCATAGACTTAGAAATGGTTTAGGTAATAAATTTCATGTCCTGTGCATTTTGCCACAATCAAAACCCTAAAGGAGAGAAAAGCTTCACACAACAGATTCACAAGAAGTATTGTTGGATGAAGATGGGATGAAGTGCCCTGCACAGTGGTCAGATGCCAGAGTGACCATGGCAATGGACGTCAGTGGACACCTTCCTTCCACCAAGCAAGCCTTCCCGGGGAACAGGACCAGGCACAGTGAACTTTTCCTGGGGATGATAAATCAGTTATCTTTCCTGTTCTTATCTGAAAGCCAACATTTTCGAGCTTCATGGTTCCGAGGGCAACGTGGCTCTCTGTCAAGTGTCTTCCCTCATACCCAGCTGCCCTTGACCCCTGGTTGCTATAGCAACCAGTATCTCTTGATTCTAGGACTGTAAGACTCCAGATCGTAGAGCTCCAGAACCACAAGTGTTTCAAGAAGCCTTGTGTGTTGGGGACTTCTTTCCTACCTATTAAAATACGCAAACAGTGAGACGTTTTGAAAATCATAGAGCCAGCAAGTAGTAGAGGCCTGAGCTTTCCTGCCACTGTGCCCACCTGGGTTCCTCCCTTGAGTCTCATCAGGGGAGGCACCGCTCTGCAAGGGGATGGTTGTTCTTTTAGACACCCCAAAGCTTGAAACCTTTACCAAGTCAAGAAGTAAAAGTTCATAGCAAGACCCAGACCAGAAGCCAGATGGAGAGAATCGGTAGCTTTTCCCCTAGTCAAAGTCATGGGTTCCTCACTGTGGGGAGACTTTGCAAAAGGGTTGGGGTCTGGGTAATTTCATCCTGGCTGACTGTAGAAGCACAGGGTCCAGGAGCTGCTGGACTTTCCTGACGTTCAGCTGCTTTTCCATTGGGTTTATGTGTAGAGTTTTTTGTTTGTTTTTTGAGGCTGGCCTTGAACTCACTTTATATCCCAGGCTGGCATCAAATCCATGGCGATCCTCCCTCTTCAGCCTCCAGAGTGCTGGAATACACAGGTGTATGCCACCACACCTGGCTTGTCCACTGGGTTTAATAACTGCCTACTGGTTAGATCACATCTAATATCTGAGCTGCTTTTCTGTCATACTATCATCAAACATATTTCTGTCATAACATCATCCTCCAAATACAGGCTGCTCAGGTCGTGTTGACCTGGGAGGACCAGAAAGAGAGGACAGGAATTACATCATCTCAGAGAAGGATGGAGGCATGGATTCACCTGGGGGGCTAAACCTGAGTGCTTCACAGATTTCTTACTTTAATACCGCCGGGGGAAACATTAGCAAGGTGACCACTGAGTGACAGGGAAACAGCTTGGCTGTGATGCTGGATCATCCCACTGCAGTAAAGGAAAAAACCAAAGAGTAGGAGGGCCAGTTATGACCATCTTTCACTAATTTCTGGCTCTCCTTTATAAGGTTACCAAGCAAAAGTGTAAACGTCTCATCAGATCAGGTAAAGCTGGCGTTTCTGTTAAGGTTACTAAAACTAGTGGGCCTAAAAGCCAGGAATCCTTCCCTCTCTCAGGTACCGTCTGCTCTGTCCCTTTGGTCTGTGTCCAAGGCAGAAGAAAATCCTGCTGGTAGTCTTTGTTGCACGGGGACAGCCAGGGCCTTGGGGTGGGAACACAGGTTTTTCAGCTGATTATAAGCAGCTGCTCACAGGAGGGAAAGCAGTGGGGAGTCCCATCTCCTATGTAAAGAAAGGAGACCAAGTACGTGCTGTAATTCTTGTCCCACATTTGGCCTGCAGGGGGCAGCATATCCCTAGCAATGACCACACAGCATACCTATGGATATTGCAGAAAATGGATTTAATAGGTCCGAGTAATGTTTTTAATTAAAATTTTTAAAAATCAGATCAGTATATTTCCAGGAAGCAAATTCCACCCCTCATATTCTCAGAGATGCTGCTTTTTTTCCATGTACAGTACAAGGTCCACAGTGAGCTCTGATGGACATGAATTGACTGCTTGTTTGAAGCTAACTCAGACTTGCCTGAGGCATGGAAAGTACAGGGTGAGAATGAGGAAATGAACTAGGGGTTGGCGAATATGCATGGAAAATCCCGTCCCTCCTAAATTACTGTTGAAGTTTAATTGCCACTAAAACAGCAGGAAGAGACAGGACCTTTAAGCCTGGCTTGGTGGCACAAGTGTAATCCCAGCTATTAAAGGGGCTGAAGTGGTCACAAGGACCAGGCAATTTAGTGAGAATCTGCCTGAGAACTTTTTTAAAAGGAGGTGGGAATGTAGCTGAATGGTAGCGAGGTCATGGATTCAATCCTCAGTACCACAGGAAGCTAGACAGACGGACAGAATAAAGGAAGGAAAGAAAGAACTTTAAGAGATGATTATCCTGGCAAGTGCAAGGCTGTGAGTTCAATCCCTGGTACCAAAAAAAAAAAAAAAAAAAAAAAAAAGAGAGAGAGAGATGATTAGATGCCTTTATAGAGACCCTATCTTAAAAAACAAATTTAAAAAGGTGCAACTCAGTGTGGAGGCTCTAGGTTTAATCTTCAGTGCTTTAAAAAAAAAAAAAGGGTAATTAGGCAATGAGGGCTCTGCCCTCATAAATAGATTAGTGTTGTCCATGTAAGAATGAGCTACCGTGGGCGTGCTGCTTATAAAAGAGTGAGTTAGGCCCTTCCTGTGCTCTCCCCCTTCACTGCCATCATGGATCACACAGTAAGAAGGTCTTTGCTGATACCAGCACCTCAATGATGGACTTCTCAGTGATGGAACCATGAGCCAATAAACTTCTGTTCTTTATAAATTACCCAGTTTCAGGCATGTTATAGCATGACAGAACTGACTAAGACAAGTCCTTTCCTTCTTGGCTAATAGCTTGCCTGGGGGAGGGGAGGATGCATTTGAAAATTTCTAGATCTTTCTTTAGAGCAAGCCATCATTAACTTAATTCTTTAAAAACAGCCAGGCATGGTGATGCATAACCCAGCTACCTGGGAAGCTGAGGCAGGAGGACTGTACATTGGAGGCCAGCCTGGTTGACTTGGTGAGACCTTGTCTCAAAATAAAGAATGAAAAAGGTTGCGAGTGTAGCTCAGTGGTAGAGCAGCCCTGAGTTCAGTCCCCAGCACAGTAAAAATGCAATTAGTAATCTTGGTTTTATAAATCTTCCACCTCATTTCAAAGTTCATTTTACGTACATATTAGAGGAACATGTTCCAGGTTATGCAGGATTATACATATTTAAAGCTTTTACATTTACATTCAAATGCAATGATTCCAAAGTGCCCCAGGATCGGTCCCACTAACTGGCCGCGTCCACTTCTCTGGGTCTCCCAGAGCAAGGCGGTGCAGTGCCTTGACTAGCAGAGTAGCAAATGGGGCCTCTTCCCCAGGGGAGCCGGCCCCTGCACCCACAGAGCCTGCTGTGGCTCAAGGACCCGTATCTTCTCCTGGGACTTGCCCACAGCCACAGCCATCTGCTCATCCACCAGAAAACCTGTTTTCTGAAGAGTAGAGAATCGGCACCTTTAACACCACCCGTGTCCCACAAAACCTCGGGCTTGAATAGATCCTTTTACTGGAGAGATGGACAGACTGGTCTTCAGAGGGTGGGCCTGGAAGGCTCACTGGTGAGGAATACAACCTGCAGCCATCGGCCTCCTGAAGGGCGGCAGTCTCCATAGAAACTGCAAATGGGTGCCATGACACGGAGCCCATCGGCAGCTACTGGTTTATCCCAGCCCCAGGCTCCGCATGTGTGGGGGTCACGGTTGCATTACTTCACTGGGTGAAGCCTCTGCAGTTGAAGGAGACAGCAAGCCTACAGGGCCATTGTAGCCAGGGACAACTGTCTCTGCCCAGGCCACTTTTTCCATGCCTGAACTCTGTCCTGTGTGTCCTCTGGGTCAGCCTGCGGTGCTGCTGCTGGCCCCAAGCCTCAGGAGGGAAATGGTGGACTCACACCCCTCCTCCAGGTTGTCAAGGCTGCATGTGGGTGGGTGTACCTGAGGAGGAGGGCATGGCAGCTGGTCCCACAGCCAGGGCCAACCCCTGGGACCTCAGCTGAGTGGAATATGCTGGCTTGGGGCCTTCTCCACCCTCTCCCAGGACCTGGGGCAAGTAGGGGCCGTGATTAGGGCTGTCTAGGAGGCCTGGGTGCAGGGGTACAGAAGCCTGGAAGAGTCAGGTGGGAGATGGGGCCCACCTCTGAAAGTAAGGCCATTTATCTCACAAGGACCAGGTACAGAGTCACAAAGCAGCCAGTGCTCTAGAGGCTGTGGTCTGCAGCCAGAGAGATAGTGCCGAGGCTCAGACAGCAACTGCTTGCCCAGTGAAAGTCACCCGCAGCCAGGCCCCTCCTCCCCTCACCACAACACTGGGCAGTGCCCAGGCTGGACCTGCAGGGAAGGACAGGGCGTGGGCGGTGACCCAGAGAGGTGGCGTCCCCGTCTTGTCCTTAGAAGGCGAGGCTGGCCCCCAGGTAGCGCTCTGGTAGAGCAGAGCCCCGTGGAATTAGGCCTCCTTCTGCTGCCCAGACTTGGACAGGGAAGAGCACCCATCACTTTCCACCCCGGGGCAGCACGGAGGCAGCCCCAGGCTGGGTGACCATGATGTGGTAGATGGATTCCCGGAAGCGCTGGTCCCGGCTGAGCCTCTTGGCCACCTCCTTCAGCTCCTCAATGTTGTTGGCTTCCAGCTGAGAGTTCATGAAGGACTGGGATGGCTTCACTGGGGAGACAGGGCCCAGGTACCCCATGAGCTGCCCTCCATCCACCAAGGCTGGTCCTGACCCTGACCCTGACCCTGATCCCACCCGGCTTCCATCATTCCAGTCCTATAGCTGCTGAGATCCCCCAGCCTCCTCCTGCCTGGGCTTCCATCATCCTGTGAGAAACACAGGCTTGAGAATTCACCAAGGCTGGAAGCACAGAGTTACAGCCTACATGGTCCAGTTTCAGAGCCAGGCCAGCCCTGCCCACTCCCCACCCTGTCCTTTTCCTGCCTGGCCACCCACAGCCTATTACCAACCCAACCAGCAGGGACTTAGACAACCACACTCACTGTCATTCCAGGAGGTGCTGGACCGGCGCCGGTGGAAGCGGCAGCTCTTGATACGGCGAGTGGCCGCCTTGTGGATGTACACGGAGTTCTTCATGATGACTGGCATCTTGGCCTCCAGCTCTGCATTCCGGATGCACTCCTCAAAGAACCCTGCAGGCCGGCCGAGGGGCAGTGCAACCAATCCTTCCCTCCCGGGGGTCTCCAAGAGGGCTTAAGCACAAATGTGTCAGTCCCATCCCCCAGGGACCAGAGCCACTATCTGCAGCCTTTTCATGCGCAGGGCTGCTGGGAACTGAGCCTGGAGGTTTTGAAAAGGGGAAGAACTCCAGGCTCCCCTCCAGACCCAATGGCCGAAAGAAGGCAGTGCCAAGGGGCCCTTGCTGGCAGGAGTCTGGAGAAGAAAAGCCAGTAAAGACCACCTCGTGCACACCAGGGCCTGTTCTAGGCTCCGTGGAGCCTGGGATCTGGCTGGGTTGAGCTCTGGGGAAGGGAAACCAGTCCCCAAAAGGAGGCTTACTTTTCAGATGGCTCACATCAGCCCGCATCCTCTCCTCCTTCTCCTTATTCCGCACCTTGGAGTTGAGCCCTTGCTCCAGGCTCTGCAAAGCCCCCTCTGCCTCCCGCAGACGCCTCTCCAGGTCCATTCGGACCTTCACCTCAGCCTGAGGGAGAAGGAAGTGGGCTCCTAACTTCAGTCGCCCTCTCCCTGGAAGTCTTCCAATTACTGCTGGCTCCATGAGCTCAGGTGGAAGTTTCTGCATCCTGCCTCCACTGCTCACACCTGACTCAGGGCCTGGGCTTGGCCTTAGAGCCCAGAGGTGTCAACCAGTGATGGAGCAGACCGCTTCCTCTCTGGTGGCTCTATGCCCTGTACCTGGCCAGCTGATTATACCAGTGATTCGGGTAGTTGTCTGGTAAGTTAGTTGCAGAGGTGGGCAGGGATCCCGGGACAGAGGAAGGGCCCAACACAGAGGTCCCCACCGGCCTGCGCACCTTGAGCTCCCGCTCAGCTTGCTGCTTCTCTGCTGTCAGCTCCTGCAGTGAGTTCTGCAGCGCCTGGGACTGGCTGGAGTAGAACTCCCGTTCCTCCTCCAAGGCCCGCGAGCGCTCCTCGTTCTCCTTCATCCTGCGGGGCAGGAGGGGAGCATATTAGACATTCACCCACCAAAAGGGGCTGCCCCCCCAGAGATCTGCTGGAGACACCCTGAGCTTTCAGAACTTTCTGGGTCCAGTCACCCAGGTGACCAGAGGGATGGTGTGGTTGGTGATGGGAGGCCTGGCCCTAGAGGCAGAGGATTAGAGTCCTGTGTCTGTGGCCTGTCCTTCCTGTGACTATGAGGTTCAGTTTCCTCCAGGGTAGAAGGAGGCTAAAGTAGACTGCTCAGTCAATCTCCAAGTACTGTTCTGAAACCCTAAAGTTCATTGTGAGACAATTGCCAATTTGGGGAGAAAGGTTACCCAATCTGCCTACTGAGGAAGCTGAGTCTTAGGTAAAGCAAGCCAATGACCCACTGGTTAGCGGCAGCTAGAACCCGGGTCCAGCCATCCAGCTTGAAGAGTTAGTAGCCCCCACGCCGCTTATGGACTCAGGGGTCTCAGGCTCCTCACCGCTTCTCCGCCACAAGCTTCTCTGTCAAGAGCTGCTGAATCCGTTCCTCGATCTGCCTTAGGTTGCTATGGAGATCCCCGATGGCAGATGCCTGCTCACTCTGATTGGCCAGTGACTGCGGCTGGTTCTCATCCTCCTCTAGCATTTCCAGGGTTTTCTTCTTCTCTATGGAGAGTTCCTTGTGTGGAAGGAAGAGGATGGGACCAGTTTACTCTCTCCAACATGGCAACCCTCACTCACCTTTGCATTCCAAGGCGTGGTCTACCTCTCTCTCACAGATACCCGAGAAGTCTCATTCTTTAAAAATAAAAGACCAAGACCTTCTTTCTTACAAGGCAAAATTAGCCCTCAGTGGAGGAAGTGAGAGGGGAGCCCAGTATGGCTTCCAGTGAAGATGACACCTAACAGAACCAGATGCCAACGACCAAAGGTACCATGACTTTCTGAGGCTCTTGTTCCTTCAAGGGGGAAAAAGATGCATTGGACTCACGTGAAAAATATCCCACAGGATGAACTCAAGAAGCAGATTTAGATGTTCCCTGCATTTATCAGATACATTACACAGAAAATCTGGAGTTGAAACTGTTCATGGGAACTACCTCCCATGACATGAGGAAGCAGGGAAAGAAACACATAAAGCTCCAGTCAGGCAAGGAGGACTAGAAACTCCAGATGCCCTCGAGGCAATTTATGGGTTCAGTAAACATGAACCGGTTACACACCACGCCCCAGGCTTTGGGTGCTAGGTTTAGAGATATCATTAAGACACTGTCTAACTTGAGAGTGGTCGTGTAGGTCTGTAGTTATTCCAGCACTCTGGGAGATGGAGGCAGGATTGCAAATTCAAGCCCAGCCTGGGCAATTTAGTGACTTAGCAAGACCCTGTCTTAAAATAAAAAATAAAAGTGGCTGGGCAGGTAGCTCAATGCAAAGGCCCTGGGACTGATCCCAGTACCAGAGGTTGGGGGTACGCGGTACTGAAGCCCAGTTTGGAAAACACAACCTTTAGTGTTCTTCTCACAACAGGTGTACAAAATGCCATGCGGGCCCAGAGCTCAGAGGAAATAGCTGCTGCGAAGAATCAGAGAAGCTTGACTAAGGAACTGTTTGAGCTGAGCCTGAGAAGGATGACTAGGGGTCCTCCAGGCAGGGAAGAGGTAGAAAGAATATACAGAAGGGACGGCGTGGGCAAAGGTTTGGAGGATGAGTTTGTATTTCTTGGGGAAAATAAGCTCAGTGATTGGAGCAGAGTTGGGATGTCCTTGTGTGGGGTGTGGAGGGGCAGCAGCAGCAGAATAGGGGAGCAGAGGAGAAGGGGGGCCAAGTTGGGACTTGTGTGCCAGGCTACAGAGCCCGACCTTTGTCCTTAACACATGCCACCTCCCCAACCTTCACAGTTCCTGCGGCATCAGATGAAGGTGATCCGGCAGCTGATTTCCCTTGATGCTCAGCCACAACCAGCAGTAGCTAAGTGAATGAACCACAAGAAGGATGTGGCTGCGCTGCCCACTCTAATCAATGTTTCATCAGGTATAAAAATGCAAGCCTTGAAGAATGGGTTTCCTGAAGCCAAGGTCATCACAAGAGCAAACTGGAATTTGCCTTTGGGTCTAGGAATAGTCAGTTCCTGCTCTGGGCGTCCTGCACAGACCAGATCTCCCAACCCACGGAGGCGAGGGTCTTTACATCAGCACCCTTTCCTGCTTGTTCCCCTTGCAGGTCCCCCCTGGGGAAAATGCTGTTATAAAAACCAGTGTCACACAGCTCAGCCAACCAGCCTGCTGGGCTGCCCCCCAGGCCCCCAGCGGCCCCTTGCCTCTAGCGTCTGCTGCAAAGATTCCGTGAGCTGCCTCAGTTCCTTCTTCTCTTGTTCCACACCCTTGAGGCATCTTGCAGTGAGTTCTAGTTCCCTGCGGAGACAGAGGATGAGGTATGGCAGTGCCCACCCCTCCCAGCCTCTGCACATAGAAACCCATCTGATGCACCTCCCTTTGCAATGCTGGGCCCCAAAAGCAGCTGTACAAGATGAAGCTGAAAGGAGACCACAGCCTAGTGAGGCTGGAGTAACCCGCTCCAGGTGCACACGGATCTGTTAAGTAGGATAAAACCAGAGCCACCTCACAGGCAGAGCAGAGCTCAAGAGAAACCCAGGGGCCAGCCACACCCTGTCCTCCCTGACAGTACCTGCTATAACCTATAATCGCTGTGACATGAGAGATGGCCATTCCCCTCTCTGGGGTAACAAAGTCCTTCTGCCTCCCCCACCCCTCCTCCTTTTTTAATTGTTGGCTTTTTGAGACAGAATCATGCTGTTTCCCAGGCTGGCTTTGAACTCACAGAGTTCTTTCTGCTTTGGTCTCCCAAGTGCTGGATTACAGGCTTGTGCCACTACACCTGGCTTCCTCTGCCTTCTGAACAAGCCTTGGCTGCCAGGGGCTTTACATGATTCCCCTGCTCCCGCTGGGAATATCTTTCCCTTTTGGCACCCAGTCTTCCAATGCCTACTCACATTTCAAGGCCAGTTTTATTTAATCTCTATTCAAACCCACAGGGATCATACATATATCTTAATTCCTAAGACAAAAGAAATTTGCACTGTTGTCTAACCCTCCCAATACATTATCGTGTTAAGGTTTCTGAGTGTGAGTTTGATTTTCTTAATCAGAACAAAAGATTCTCAGTGGAGATTTATTTTTCTTTCCACTGTCTGGCACAATGGTCCTTAGCTCTCGATTTGGTAAGATTTTTCTGACCCTCCCCAAAATGCATGTCTAGTTGTTTTGTCTTACAGAGTTGTTGGAATAAGAAGCTTTCTGTGAGCCGGGTATGGCGGCTCAGCCTATAATCTCAGAACTCTGGAATGCCGACAGCTGGAGGCCAGGCCGGGCTACATAATGAGTTCAAGGCCAGCATGAACTGCATAGTGAAAACTTGTCTCAAAAAGACAATCAATCAATCAATCAATCAATAAACAATTTTCTGGTATCACTGATGAGCAGGGTTGACAATGATGATGAACACAGCAACTCCTGCCATTAGCACCACCACAACAGTAGTCTCCAGATTCCTGGATAAGGTACGTCTGAATCAACTGTGCATTTTTTTAAAATGTAAATTTTGAGAGTCCTTCATTTGAAACATAATTTAGTAGATGACTATAATCTAGTAAACTATAAACTATTTACTATAAACTAGTAAAACTAGTTTTGCAAATAATACATGGGGCTCAAGATCCTAGGTGACATCATTAGCCAAAATAAGCAAGGACCTTGCAGGAGAGACAGAGGCCCAGTTACCACCTCCAGACCGGGTCAGCTTGTTTCTGACTGAGCCCGGGTTGGAGGCTTCCCAGGAGGCAGCAGGGAGTGGCTATTTGGAGGGAGCCTGTGTGCTCTTGTCCTACCCTAGGCTCCAGTTCACATCTTTGCAAAAGATCATTATCTAGGGGTGCAAATGACACCCCCCCACACAGCTTCCTCCATGCACACCCAAGGCCTGGAGTGTCAGGAAGAGAAACCCAGACCAAGGCAGAAGTGGTGACTCGTGGGTGAAGGCCTCTCCAAACATGGGCGGTGGTGTCCTAAGCCGGGTGCCCCTCCCTGGGCCCTTTCAGACCTCTTGATCTGCTCCTGCTCCACTCTCAGCTCCTGCACCACCTCCTCAAACTGCTGCTTCTCTGCCTCCAGCACCTGGTTCAGGCGCTCGAGCTCCTGAGGAGAACCAAAGAGGAAGAGAAAAGTCACAAGGAGCAGAGACCCCTCACCCCAACACAGGGGACCCTCTAGGATTTAGCTCATTCTGGACCATAAGCCAGACTAGCCCCTCTCAAGGACAGAGTTTTCAACAAACCCCAAATCTGCAAAGAACTCTGCCCATTCAAACAAGCAAGCAAAGACGGGGTCTAGAAATGATCCAACAATGTGCCCTGTGATTATAAAAATGCCTGTTCTGTTGGGCAGCTTCAGTCACTGACACCCTAAGATGAGGGGGTGACCCACAGTCCTGCAGGAAAAGGTGGGGAGTGTGTGCTTCTATGACAGAGTCCCAGACTGATTCCAGTTAGAAGTGACAAAGAAAAGCCATCCCCAACTCCAAGACAGAGAATAAGGGTCTTTTTTCTCAAGGCATCTGAGCCAGGTGGTTGAAGCTGCCCTCTGGTTGCAGGAAAACCAGAAAACCAGGACAGACCTCAAGGAGCCAGACAGGTCACTTTGGAAAAGCCAGAGCCCAAAGGTTTTCCTGCAAAGCCTGAGCCCTCTACGAGTCCTGTTTTCCTGGAATTCAAAGGCAGGTATTCCCTGGAGGTACATTTCATGTGAAGTTTGGCTTGAAGCATTTTTATGATGACTGCTTTCTCCACATTTTACACCCTAGAAGGGTATTATTTCCACACCCACTCTCTCACCTTCCAGCTCCAAATTACATTCTCATTTTCCTCTAGTGGCTTTGTTCTCCAATCTAATGGGCACTCTGCGTTGAAGGAGGGATGCCTATACAGAGGTATCGTCATTGGCTTTGAGGAGATGCAAACAAGGAATAAAATACAGAGAGGGAAGAGGCTGATTTCGAATGCCATGACCTCCATTCCTAAACTTCTTACCCAAAGAGTTGCTATTTCTTCTGCTTCTAATCATTGTGAGCATTTTAGGAAAGGGTCACCAGTCACAAATGGACTTTAGTTTGCCAAATGCAGCATTGCAGGGCTGCACAAGGTGTTTGATGTCCGCTAGGTGCATGAGTAACCACAGCCGGGTGGATTCGGAGGACTGGGAAGGCTGATGGAATATCAGCAGGAATGTGTGCCTTCCAGACAGATGCCTTTAAGGGACAGCACTTGGTGGCTACCTTCCTTTCCTCCTGCCATAGCAACCAGCATCACAAGGATCCCTAAGACTGAGAGACCCCAGCTGGGGGTATCCAAGTAGATGACCAAGAAATTCATTGTTAAAAGCCACTGGGAATTCGAAGCAGTAGCCTTTGTCTACGTATGATAGGCTGTACATAAACATAACATGAATAACACTCAAAGTTTGTTCTTATAGATTCCCCCTTTCAAAGCAAAAAAAAATCAGAGCTTCAAAAAAGTTAGATGACCTGGCCTCAACGGATCTGACTGATTCTCATCTGATGGCATCTACCTGCTTTGGAAAATCTGTGTGGGGAAATATAAGCTTCAAAATGACCACCTACGACCCAGTTGGAGGACCTCAGCCCATATCCTCACATCCTCCCTCCCTGGAAAGCCTCTTTAACACTGGAATTTGCCAACATTCCCCTACCCCCTCCCCTTTTTTTTGAGACAGGGTCTATGCGGTTCAGGCTGGCCTTGAATTCACGTTAATTCATTTGTAGCCCAGCTGGCCTTGCACTCACAGCCATCCTCCTGCCTCAGCCTCCCGAGTGCTGGGACTGTGGTCATGCACTATCACATCCTGCTCCCTTTACATTTTGTTACACTAGGATACTTTTTGGTGGTTGAAAATGGGGTGAGTAAATGACCCAAAGCCCACTGCCTCCCTCCTTAGCATTCAAGCACCTCACAATACCAGCTGGGGCCAGTTATGCCTCCAAGGACCAGAAAGGGAAACGAATATCTGAAAATAACATGACGAGCATCATTTGGCTTTTCTTCTCTCCTGCCTCCCTTTTGCCATCTCTGACAATGTGATAAGATGCCTTGTCTACCTGAAAGTCACTAACTACTGAGCCCAATAGTATTTACTGCTGGGTGGAAGGCCTAGATAAGTGGATGCCCTGAATGGAGTCCTTCTCAGTTGAAGCAATTATCTATCATCTATTTATTCATCTATCTGTTTTTTTCTTGAGCAGTGGGGAATAAACCTAGGGCCTTGAACTGAGCTACATTACCAGCCCTTTTTTTATTTTTTATTTTATTTATTTTATTTTGGGCTCAAACTTTCTGTCTTAACTTCCTGAACAACTTGGATTACTGGCGTGCACTACTGCACCCAGATTCAAAGCTGCATTAAAGAAAACTCAGTCATCATCAGATGCTTGAATCACTAGCTTGGTTTTCCTGCTATGAGACAGTCCAACCTCTGTTTGAGTGATCCCTGCCCCGTAACAGGAAATGCACCCACTTCTTAAGACAGTCCATTTCACACATGAACAACTTGATTTTAAAAATTCTGTTCCTTATAAGCTTAACCCCTATCAGGGTCAGTGCTGTCATTCTCTGAAAGCCACAAATATAAAAACATTGATGACTGATGGAAGATCTTTGTGGGGCTCCAATGATGCAGGGGACCTCATTGATGCAGCAAAACCCTTTACACACCTCTGTCCTTTGCTCAAACTTCCTCTTCCTTCAGCTGCTGCCGCACCCCTGGCCTTTCTTTCTGAGCCACACCCTCCTCTGGAGCACCTCTCCAGGTCAGTGAGCAGCCCTTGCCAGACAGGAAACCAGCAAAACCAAGGACAGCGGCCACCACCTGATCCTTCCAGGTTGCTCACAGGCACTGAGGAGGGCGGCCCACTTCATCTTCCGCTTCCATCTGAGCCAAAGTCTGCCACAGTCCCAACTCCCTTCAGTGGGTCTGATTCCCCACACGGCTCGCCCATGGGGCCACACAACAAAACTTCTCTCAGGTTTTTAAAAGAGCTGTTCTGTTCCCAAGTTTCTTGTCCTCCAAGCCAAACAATTCTTGCTATGCTTCACGGGACATGATTCTAGTATTCAGTAAAATTAATTATACTCTTAAAAAGAATACAATGATATAGGCACCTGATTAAGAAGACAATGCAGTAAAGATCCTTTCCAAGTAATTTATTGGCTCAACATTACTCCAGTAAAAACTTCGGTGAGACATTTTTTTCTTATAATTCTATTCATTTATGCCACACATCTTTATAATGTTCTGAGCACCCACCAGACCATGCACTAAGGATCTGATGATGCATTTGTGGACGTTTGAGGGTAGTACCGCTATTAATAAATTCAGATCCAGAATAACATGTTACTGAAATAATCAGGTGCACTGGAGACACATGATCTTTGGGACATGGCCCAACTCTATGTCCCATGGCAGGACATAGAGTTGTCCTGCATGGGAATAAGTAGTATATGCAGGTGGAAGGATTAGAGGGGAGAACCAGTGGTTCTTGAGTTGACAAAGGGATACAAACAGAAGGACAAAGAAGGAAGGAAGATTCCAGGCAGTAGAAATAGCATGTGCAAAGGCCCTGTGGAAACATAGTACCTTGAAAGAACCAAGACAGGCTTATATGGCTGAGTGCAGAATAAAAGGGAACATGATGGGAAAGAGGCTGAAAGAGTTGTTTGAAGCTAGACTGTGTACCACCCTGCACTATGCTGAGGATTTCGGTCTTTTTTCCTGAGAAACAATGAAGATTTCAAGTAGGGAGAAAGGGGAGATGGTGGGCAACGTGACCTGATTTCCACTGTAAACAGTGACGATGGCTGCATTTTGGAAGAAGGCATGAAAGGGGCCAGAAGCTGTTTCAGAACACAGGTGGGAGGCCGAAGCCTAACAGCAGGGTAAGTCAGGTAGCACAGGACAAGGGGAGGAGAAGTGTCCTGGCAGAGTCTAGAGCTGCGGGAGCCACACTAGGAGATCTTGGAGGTGAGGTGGGAAAGAGCAGAGGGAGAGAAGACTCCTCAGCTTCTGACCTGCATAAACCAGGGCCAGCGTGCATTCCTGAGACAGGGACCATCATAAAGCCATCAGCTCTACTGGGGAAGATCATGAATTTGGTCGTGGACATGTGTGTACCAAAGGTGTCAGCATTAGCACAGAAATAGCAATGAGGTTAGCAGCCTAACTTCCTTAGGATTCAGAGCAGAGAGGAAACGGACAGGAGCATTTCTCTGAAATGAGGCAGTACTCAATGAGGGGTTATCAGGAGCATTACAGGAGCTGATTGATTGCAATTGCTTGCACCGCAGGAAATGAACTTACTGTTCTCCATGGCTTACATGCACCAATTTATAGAATCTTCGTTTCAAAAAAACTTTACAAATAGAAATGTATTACCCTTATATTATAGATGGGAAAAGCATGGGTACAAGTTAGATTACTTAACTCGCTAAAAGTCATACAGCTAGTGAATGAGAAGGAACTCAAATACACCCACAGGATAAAACAAGATGAAATGCCCATACACCAGCAACTGGTGAGAGGATAAATTGGTACACATTTTCTGGAAAGTAATTTGGCAGTATGCACCAGGAGTCTTTAAACTTCTTTTCCTTAGATTCAGTAATCCCCCTATAGGAATATATCCTAAGCAGATACAGTAACAGAAAAATAAACCAAGATCATTTGTACACGGTTATACATCATGATATAATTTATACTAGTGAAAAGAGCCTAAGGGTTGAAAAATAGATTAGTTAAATGAGACATCTCCTAAAATGAATCGGTATATGGCCATTAAAACTTAAGTGAATGTCAGTGGCATGTTGTTAATGAAGGTATAATAAAAGATATAATGAAAAAGCAGGCCAAGAATTGAATATCTGATATGTTCCTAATGATGTATAAAATATATAAGAATAACGCATCTTATGGGTGTATAGCTAAGTGGTGGAGCACGTGCTTAGTATGTAGGAGGCCTTGCGTTCAGCTCCCAGCACCACAAATACACACACATACATACTGAAAGTAAAGGAATACACAGGGGCAAGTGACAAATGAGAAACATTAGAAAGTTGACAGTAGTTGTCCAT